GGAGGAGAGGGATGGAGGGAAGCGGGTTGAATGGCATGGGATGGGAGGGGGTGGGGAGGGGATGGGGAGGGGAGGGGAGGGGAGGGGAAGGCTTGCAAGAAGGGAGGGGAGGAGGAGGAGGAGGAGGAGGAGGAGGAGGAGGAGGAGGAGGAGGAGGATAACCAGATATCACCGGTACGTATCAACGCCGTTGCAGTGAACCCTCCCTCCAAGTTTCCAATCCATAGGTCCCTGCAATAATTTCTAATTGCTGCGGGAAGTGTCCGGTTGGAAGGCCACCGTGTGAGAATCCCCGATCGTGCCAAACACAATTTCTGGGACTTCAATTTTTCAAGTCCAGATACATGTTGTGTCCCGACGATCCCGAATCGTACCAGAACGCCGTTCCTGGCGCTTCATCTTTGCGAATCAACGTGACTGCTGCGCCCTGAAATCCGAAATCGTGCCAGGGCACCGTTCCTGAGACGTCAACCATGAGACTATTTGAAGCTGCTTGTGACTTTGAAGACGAATGTGCGCGGCGCTAGGGCGAGAGCCAATGTTTGAAAACGGCCCGCCCTCCATCTGTGAAGCTCTTGCAAATTTTTACGATGAATTTGCGCGGCGCTAACGCGGGGGTACATGTTGAAAATGACCTGCCCTCCATCCATCCGTTTGAGACGAATGTGCCCGACAATAAGGCGAGATTCACATGTTGAGCCCTTCGCCCTCAATCCGTAAGCTCGGGCAGAGACTAAGGCGACAGCCACCTTCTGAACACGACTCGCAGTCCATTTGCGAAGCTCCTGCTAACATGTAAGGCGAATGTGTTCGGCGCGGAAGCGCGAGCCACATTTTGAAAACGGCCCGCCCTCCATCCGTGAAGCTCCAGCAAACTTTATGGCGAATGTGCACGGCGCTGAAGCGAGAGCCACATTTTGAAAACAGCACACCATCCATCCGTCAAATTGGTACAAGTTTCAAGCTTCATGATCGTAAGTGGTGGGGATGTCTCGGGCGAAACGCCCGGCCCGCCCTACCGACATGTCTCGGGGGTCGACAGGGAGGAGTTATCCGTAAGGGCTTCGCCCCCATGCCGCCGGCCCCCCTCTCTTAGAATGGGACTTGCCAGAGCTGTGTTGGGATGTCTGGGCGCTGACGTGAAGCAATGTCGAGACTTCCCGCGAGGGCCAACATTAACTTACGAGGGTTTATGGCTTCGCTGGCGCGAATCTGCGGCAATTTATTATGGTTTATGGATGCGGGCACGCGAATATTGCATAATTTACGGGTGTGTGTGTGTGGCCTCGGGGACGCAAACATTCTGTAACTTACGATGGTTTATGGTTTCGGGGGCGCAAGTATTTTGTTTAATTTGCGAAGGTTTATGGCCTCGGGGACGCGATGGTGTAATTTGCGAAGGTTTGCAGCCTCGGGGACGCAGGTAGGCGCGAATATGGTTTAATTCACCAGGGTTTACGGTCTTGGGGACGCAGATATTGTGCAATTTACAAGGAGTTATGGTTTCGGGGGCGCGAATATGGTGTAATTTACAAGAGGTGTCTAGCCTCGGGGACGCGAATTTGGTGCATTTGATTGAGGATGATGGCATTTATTTCTACGTGTCCCACGGTTTCCTGGGAATTCAGGCAACGCGGTTCGGGGACGCTAGCCAGGACGCTTTTCGGCTCCCCCCCTCGCGCGTTCAGCAACAATTAACACTAAGGGAGCAGAAAGCAGAACTGTAACAGTGGAAACTGGAAGCGGCAACTGGTACAGGGAGCTGCACGAAGCCTAATCTTCGCAGCCTGACGGCCCCGCGAGGGGGCCGGCGGATCTACAAGGAAAGAGGACGGGAGGGAAATATGGGAAGGAGGAGGAGGAGGAGGAGGAGGAGGAGGAGGAGGAGGAGGAGGAGGAGGAGGCGATCTCCGTTACCACTCCATTCCGTTCCTCTTGTAATTCCATTTGCCTGCCTCACCGCGGGGGCCTCGCCGAGGGGGGCCTTCCAGTTCGCATGGGCGAGGGATCGTCTCCCCTCGTCCCTGTCCTCGTCGTCTTCGTCGTCGGCCTCTGCCTCCTCCTCCTCCTCGCCCCCCTCCATCACAATCGGCCCCTGGATCTCTCCTGGTGCGCGCCCCGAGGCCAGTGCCCCTCCCCTTCTGGCAGCCTCCTGTGGCCTGGTGCCCCTCCCTTCCCCCCTTGCCCTCCGGGTGCGCGAAGCGGGCGGGGGTACCGGGAACGCGGGGCGATGGGAGGAGGAGGAGGATGAGGAGGAGGAAGAGGAGGAAGAGTCGAGCTCGCCAGAGCTCGGGTTGGCCTGCGCTCTTAAAGCGCAGGCCAACCCAGAATTTTAAATCTGGGTCTGGCCCGTCAAACATTTTGATTGGCCAGGCACAGATTCTAATAGTCCAGCTTTCGTGGAGCGCTTGCCCGCGGGAGCTAGCGTCAAAAAAATCTGGCTGGTTATCGTCATGGTTTTGATGGCCCCGTCAGGCCGGCCTGAGTCCCTCGAGCCCAAGTCTTCCTTTTCCTTGATCCGGGTGCGCGTGGGCGAAGGGAAGGGGAGGGGAAACGATGGGGAGGAGAGGAGCGTGTTTTTGTTGTTCTCCAGGCCATAACGCGCGTTACGCTCCCTCCATCACTGCGTCCCCGGCGTTGCCGCAGTGCGTCCAGCACAACAGTTTTTTTGTTGGGGGGGCGCTACGTTATTGCCCGCCCCCCCCCCCTCCCGCCCCATGATGCCCGTTCTGGCCGCGAACAAATATTGTGTTCGACGAGGAGGAGGAGGAGGAGGAGGAGGAGGAGGAGGAGGAGGAGAAGAAGGTGGAGGAGGAGGAGGAGGAGGAGGAGGAGGAGGAGGAGGAGGAGGAGGAGGAGGAGGAGGAAGAGGAGGGCGTGAACCTTTCCTCTCCTTGCCCTCCAGGTGCGCGCGGGCGAGGGGGAGGGGCTCGAGATCGTCTCCCCGTACATCGCGCCGGGCCTGGCCCCCTACTCGCCGACGGAGGTGGCCGACGGCTCGGACCTGATGGACCCAAGCCGGGCCGCCGCCGCCGCGCCTTTCGGCCGCCGTTCTGCTGATCGTCGTTATGCTTTGGCGTCGTCGTCGTCAGAGGAGGAGGAGGAGGAGCAGGAGGAGGAGGAGGAGGAGGAGGAGGAAAAGGAGGAGGAGGAGGAGGAGGAGGAGGAGGAGGAGGAGGAGGAGAGGAGGAGAGGAGGAGGAGGAGGAAGAGGAAGAGGAAGGGGAGGAGGAGGAGGAGGAGGAGGAGGAGGAGGAGGAGACGGAGGAAGAGGAGGAGGAGGAGCAGGAGGAGGAGGAGGAGGAGGCGGAGGCGGAGGCGGAGTCGGAGGAGGAGTAGGAGGACGTGGTGGAACGACCAATGGCCGCTGGAAGAGGGAGACCCACAATAGCGCCTCCGACGGTCTCCGCAAAAAGGTCATTAAGAACTGCACTACGCCCAACACAAATGACCCTGCAGGCCACTGGTCAGCGCGGCCAGCTCACGTGCCTGATTATCGTACAGCGATCTGGCGCTAGGTCAACTGCGACGTCGTCGGCGGGAACGTCACAGAAGAAAGGACCCCTATGTTACCGTTGGAGAGAGCAAAGGATACGGCCAAAAACGAGCTGATCTGCCTCGGCCCATCCAGCCAGGCCCCAACGGACAGGAGTTCACCAACGCCCAGCTGACCCACACTATACTATCCGTACGAGTCTACAAGGAGGCCGATTTCCAGGGCGCAGAACGGATAGCTATTCACGTTCCAAAGCCCACATCAAAAATGCTCACGAGAACGAGGACTACATCCTGCAGCCTGCATGCCGCCAGCGAGCTCGGCAGTATCACAGAGTGCAGCGAGGCATTCCTGCTATTGTCCTACTGCACGGGCATGTTGGCCACTCGCGGAGCCAGGACCGTATACCCACACAACGGCAATCTGATATTCAGCACGCGCAACTTGCAAATGACGCCTCAGAGGCGCGCTGGGCTGCATGCGCTCGAAGACGACCCCGACGGTGGAGCCTTGCCCTTTTCATGGAGGTTGATGACGACGGGCTGGACCACCTCAGAGACTATAGGGCCGAAAACCGGATTCCCATCACTACCGAAGGAGATTTCGATACAAAGTGCGAATTCCAATTGGGACCACCGTCCATCCACAATATGCATGCAGCGGCCGCCCATCAGCAACACTGATGTGCATGCATCCCGCGACGTTGGTTTCGAAGCCGACATAGACGTTATCAAGACCAGCCCGACCAGCATCGACACAATCGAGGCTCCACGATGCGACGGCCTCTGCCACGAGAAGTACCTGACTGGGTCGAACCCGAGGGCATCCAGACAGTGGACATCCATGCATTCATGCCACACCTTGACGGCGACCTTCGAAGCGCGGCCCGCGAGGCCCGCGCAGGCAAGCGGAACGGCCGCTACAGCAGCATCAACGACGACCGCGAAGTACTGCTTAGTCTTATGGGTTCTTACCGCACAGAAGTGCCATAGATATCATGCGTGGACGGTCGAGGGAAACCAGGTCGTCAGGCGAGAGCGATCACCCCCACCCCCACGGAGGGGCACCCTCAGCCCCCCACGCGCACCCAAACCGACGCCACGCCATCAAACTTGTGCCGCGCCACCAAGCCCACTGCGATCCCACGCCGCCCCCGCCGCCAGCATGGTCACCATATCACCGAAGGTGGACTGCAAACGACGCGGCAAACGAAGTTGCGGGAGCTGGACATCCAGCCACGCTTGCAAGATCACCAGGCGCGCCAGCCCATGCGCCCACGCGCATGGGTCGTCTACCCGGAGGAGGACACGCCGCATTTCGTCGACCAGTCTACTACTTCAACAAAGAGACTCTTGAGTCATCCTGGACCGACCCCAGCGACGACTTGCTCATGACTGGTTGGAGTAAGGGCGTTTTGCGAACAAACGACGAGTTCTTCTACGACGAGCGGGAGAACGCGGTCCAAAGCCCGCCCCTCGCGCCGTGCCGCTCGAGACAGCATCCACCGCCACCGGACGTAAGTGCGCCATCGCCGCCTGCCCGATCCCTGTACATCGACATACTCGTTATAGAGGGTCAGGTGGTGAAGCGACGGCGATGGCCTTCACAAAAAAACAGTTCGACGCCATCAGGACCAACGTCATGGGCATGACCACCGACGATCTCCTGGGCTACCTCAACGGAAACTTTGAGATTGGGGCATACATGCAGGACGTCAAAAGGACTAGCGCGACAGATTTCTGCGCGCGGAAGGCATCGCGATAGTCATCTCCGAGATCCAGACGGCGATCCCGCTTGCGGCGCCACGCCGCCCAGGCATCAACCAGGCCCAACCTTCCTCCACTGCGCAGACCGAACAGACAGACCACGTGCCGCGCCGACGCCAGCGCGGCGCGAATCGGCCGCGGAGGCGAGCCACGTCCAGCAGGACACTGCCGACTTTGCCTATCTGATCGCCGACGCACCAGGACCTGCCTCGTCAGCGTCTACATCGACTCAACGCAACCATCCGGTACCAAGCGACGCGCAAATTTATGCCCGCCCAGCTGACCCGAGCACTGCTACTTGCATGCGTCGCGACACAATCGCCAGAGTTGTGGCCGACTACCATGCGCCATCTCGCACCAATGCGACTGGGGCGGGCCCGCCAAACGAGGGGCGCCGCAGGGCACCGCCGCCAAACGAGTGGCTCTAGAAGGAGATTCCAACTAACCCCGCGCCGCGACGCCACGACAATGCTGGCGCGCTCACCATCGCGGCCCAACTGGCCGACGACAGGAGGCTCGGCCTAGAAACCTAGCAGTTCAACCGCGTGCCGACTCCTCAGCGAGTGCCCCTAGCAAGCCGGCGCACCAGCCGTGTCCGCCTACGCGCGAGGACAGCGTCCGCGTGCCCTACAGATCAATCCCACCTGGGACGACCGCCAGGCCCCTAGCCACCGCGGCCGCGCCCACCGTCTACGAGGGGGCCCCGGCGCCCTTGGAGGAGCCACCCGGGGGCATGCGGGTCGGGGCCTCTATGTCCGACATCCAGCATTGCGCGACTGGCGGGCTCGTCAACGCCAACAGCGGCACCCACTGCGACCCGAGCATGCCGCGCTACAGTATACACGCCTGGAAGCTCTTCAAGGACTGCGTCGGAATCATCGGCAACCCAGAGGCGCCCTGTGACTGGAAAGTGGGCCCACGTCGCATCGGCCGCGTCGAGCGCGACCATGTCCTGCGTCGCCTCTGCGACGCCCTGAGCAGAAGCTTCTTCGGAGAGCCCGTCGGCCACCGCGTCGCGCCCGGTGCCAGTGCACTTCATCGCATCCACCAGCTGCGCAGCATCTCGGTATGCCCAGTGGCCGAGGGCCGCGCTGACCTGTCTGCGCCGCATCAAGCTCGGCATGGATGCGACGAGATCTACGGCGACATCAAATTTGCCCCGCGCAGCACGACAGGCGCACCGACGCCGTTCACCGTGCCCTCCTTTTCGAAGGGCATCGCCATGAACGTGATCTTCTGGATGAACCTGCTGCCTCAGCGCGATGGCGAAAGCAGCCCAGCGCCATCAGGAGAACCAGGCCCGCCACCGGGCCCCGCGCCAGGCGTCGGCCACCAGGGCCCCGCGACGGGCCCAGAGAGGCGCGATAACAACCAACCGACGCAAAGCCAAGAAAGCAACCGCCAGCAGGGACCCACATTTAAGCCAGCCATCTGCAGCGGCGCAGAGATTCTGCCAAACAGTTCACGCGAGGACTCGCCATCGCGATCGTCGGCAGGTCTTCCAGCCAGAACATGCAGAGGCCCCTTCTGGCCCAGCGCGCATTTCCGACGTCCCCGGCCGAGGGCATGCCACCACCGCGACCGCTAACAACGACGGTCATCGCCATCGACCAACATAACCCCATCAGCGAGGTATACACATTCAACGCAAGATGCCCAGTACTGCACGCTGACGCGAATGCCATCAAGGACCAAAACGAGGATGAGTGCTACCCTGGCTAGGACAACATGGACCACGTATAGATGGACGCTGGCCCCACGACCAGCACAACTAGCAGCCGCGCCAGACGCAGGCCCGCGGGGGCCACATCCGAAGCAGACAACCCCACCACGACCACGCCGATAGCGTGATCGACGACAACGCGACGCCTACCCCGCCAGGCTCCACCCCAAGTCAGAGCGCACCGCCTACCTCCTCCCAGTATCACCCTCGTGCCGAGTAGGGACATTCCTCGCGGAGGCCCGTCAGTGCGTCGCATCTCCTGTCCGCAAATTTCGTTACTGGCGACCGCGGACCCCCTGCGACCGGGGACTCCACGCCATTTTGATCAGGCGCATCAGCGCTGTCGGCTGTCCCACTGCCGACTGCCGACCTCTGCGCTATCCTTTGCCCAGACCGCCACATTCACTTTTGCGACGGCAGCAGCGGCTGCATTCTATTCCCAACGGCACGCAGCGCGCGATCCACTCCACGCTCGGACGACGGCAGCACCGGCGCGCGGCGACAGCAGCAACTTCAAGGAGCGCGAAATTAGTGGGCCTGCGGCAGTGACATGTTCACCCGCATTCATCCGACGTTCCGCATGCATCCACGACGGCTACATTCACAACAGGCTATGCTATGCAGTGGGTCCACGGTCAGACAGGGCTCCAAAATTTGCCGTGGATTCCACTCGCACGTATGCTGACCATCCGACGCGCTGCGATCGCACGTGCCACATGTGCCCGCGCGGGTGGAATAAACTGGTGCCAGACCACTGGATGGAGCTCCCTTGTGCAACTCCTTGGTGGTGCTTTCATCTCTAGCTGCGAGCTGGGGCCTCGGAGGCGACAACTGGAAACGCCAACTATCCGCGGGTCTTGAGGGAGCCCTCGCCCAGCCTTCACTCCCTTCTGGCTCAACCTTCCGCCTGTGTGCCCCGCTCCCCCGGCCTTGTGCTCGCCTGGCCGGGCCCTCCCCAGTCGCGCGGCGGCGGAACGGGCGGGGGAGCGAAACTCATCGCGTGGAAGGGGGCGGGGGAGGGGCAAC